AATAGATCATTATGTGATATTTCTCTTCGAAAGGTTGGCATTCAGTTTGTATTTCATGTTACTAACAGAAAACTCAATTCTCGCTGGATTATAAAATATAAATGTTTAATGTTTAAATTAAATTTCAAATGTTTTTATTCTAATGCTTCACGTGTTCAAAAATGTTCAAATTTAAATGTTTTTTTTCAGTAATATGATGATATCATTGATAATGATAATGACATCAATGATGATATCAATAAAGAAGGTAATTCATTTAAGATTCTATCAAACTGCTAATATTAGTAATAATAATAAATTATATGTTAATAATAATAAATTTTTATATGTTTGATTGGTGGTTTTGTTGAAGTAACGTTTTATATATATTTTTTGTGCATCTTATAGGAGTGTGCTAACTTACATATAGAAGAAATTTATAATAAAAAGAATCAATGGGTAAGAAGAGTATCAATTCCAATTCTCTGTTGAATTTACTCTTTAGGTTCAATCAAACCAACCCGATCAATTATGAGTGATGTAAAATTGGCCCAGCGAAGTATAACAATAAATAATTTATGAAGGTTGTCAAGGAAACGCTTGCTGATAGCTTCCCACAACAGAAAGCGACACAACGACCATCTGATGATATGACATCAATCTTTACTCAATTCTTATCCTTCAATAATGATCAGGAACGGTTGCAACAATTCTATAGACAGGTAAACATAAAAATAATTCTGAATTTTTGATTAATTAATTTATTCTTGTGAATATGAGCGGAGATCTCTTTGATTTGCTTCCATTAGAAGATCGTTATTTCGTGTACTTGTTGATGAACAAAACAACAATTAACATTAATATAGGGTTGATGCAGTTCTTTTGATTATCTTTTCTCGAAAAATTTTTTCTTTTATTGACTAAATCCTTTGAATAGAAAGATTTTCATCACTTGAAACTTTTAATTTGGACATAAATTTCAAATTAAGATGGAAAAATTGAGTCAGCAAAAAGAATCACAGAAGAATGACAGCTCATTTGATGAAAATCAATTTCTACGACATTGTGCTGATTTGCGAAGACAGTTGGATAATTACAAGCGCAAGATAGGAGGAAGGAAAAATATAAGCGAACAGCAAGAAAATACAATTAAGAATTTGAGAACATTGACTGTAAGTTAAATTTCTATGATATTAAATTCTGAAGGTTCCATTAAATTTAATTATTTCGGCATCCATTACTCAATTTCACAAGAGAATGTCTTAATAAAAGTTTAAAATGGTTAAACGGAATTTACATTCTGAAAAATCTCTGGAAACTAAAATTAACATTTAATCCAAACTATACATATTGCTATGCCCAGGATTACTAAATTACTCAATGGTATGGTATTATGGGATCATTATAAGGTAGAATTTGTTGCAGGACCAATTGTCAAGTTTAATGACTTCAGAAAAAACTTCCCTGGCAAGTGATTCCGTCAAAACGTTTGCTTCCAAAAATGTAGGGTAAGATTTTGCAGCTTTACTGCTGAAAAAAGTTGTAAATATTGCGTTTAATTTTTATGCTTCGTAGAGAAGATGAAAAGGCACAGAGTGAAGAGACGAACAGTGTAGAAGGTATTATCGAGATTTCATCAAAGGATTCATCATCAGATCCAGACTATGCCTTCGATCATTCGGTAATCGAAGGACATGACAGAATATATGATATGAACTTAAGGTTAAGCTTACTCTCAAATATTATCAGTTAGAATACGAAGAATGAGAAATAAAAAGAATAGCACATAACAGTAAGTTCTAATGAATACTGAAGACGATTTTGCAATCACTAGCATCATTTAAGACTGACAGATCCTCATCACAATATGGAACTATATGATCATGAAAGGTGCTAATAATCCGATTTAATTTATTCTACCTAATAGCTAGACTGTTCGAATACCTGGTTTGAACTGGTTAACACCGGAATTAACAAACTCGAAAGGTGTTTGCCTGGCTATGCTTGGACTAATGTAGCCATTGTTATTGAAAGAGTCACTACCGCGAAAACTTTATATCACTGGTCCCTTGATGTCCATTATCACCTTGGCTTTTCAAATTTATTGCACAGTATCCAATCATTTTCAACTTACAATTCTATTCCTAGATAGATAAACTTTTAAATTCAATAATTTCATAGTTGCTTTATTTTAATTCTATTTTAGAGAAGAGTTGGAAAATCGAGAAAATACAGTCACTGAAAATGATCGATTCGTCGCCGTGACTAATTTCAAAGCACAAGAAAAAGAAGATTTAACTTTAAAGGAAAATGAATTAGTACGAATTATTGCTACTCGGTATGCAAAAAAATTGAGAATTGCAAAATTTATTCAAATTATTTTTACTTTTCTTTGGAGGTGTAAAGGGAGATAAAGAAAATATTTGCAATTAAAATCTTTCCCTAAAGAATCCTTGATAAGTGATTATTCTTTTAGACAAGATGGCTGGTGGCTAGCAGAAAATGCAAATGGTGATCGCGGATTCATTCCGAAAACATTTCTGAAAGTTCACAAAGAATTGATTGACTTTAAAGAAGCATCAAAAGAGTCTGGTAAACCTTTACCAATGCCTCGGCGAACTGTTGCCGCGAAAACAGATAGAGTTGCAAATCGTCGTACAATCGAAAATGAAGATATCTCAGCAAAATCAAAAAATACCGAAGGAAAAAATCAGCGGAATGATGTAAATGTCGGAGTTATTAGAGATGTGATTGCGCCCGCAGCGACTTCAAATATTGGACAAGATGTCGAAACTAAAATTCTTGAAGAATCTAGCTCTGAAAGCAGCAAAGTTTCGGGACAAGACTTGAAGTTGTCTCAACCAAAAATCCCAAAAATTACCCACCGGGTATATATTTCCACTAATCTCTGACACTTTTGCAAGATCAAGATTGTGACGGTTTCCTCTTCATTAATTAACCAAAAATTGTTTCCAGAGGCCGCTCACTCAACCTGCATTTGTGCTAGATGCGTTCAAGAGAGCTAATGATTGCAGTAAGATATTTAATAATTTTGAAGTCCAGTTTAATTACAATCCTTACTACAAATATAAGTATTGTACTGTGGTCGAAGAACGACGAGTATGTTCAAATAGATCTGATCTGATAGATTTTTTCAGGTAATCATCTAACTTATGAATGTTACCTGGCACCACGTCTTAGTAAATCGAATTATGCATTTCATGATATTTATTGGAACTATGAAGACGACAGGGTAACTTTCACTGTCTAAAATACATCCAGTATATTCACTCATTTCTTTCAAACTCTTTTTTAAATTATATGGAAGAATGTCTGTTCATAGCTGCGGAAAAGAAGAGTGCGAGTCAGTAAAATGATCAAAGTGACACGTTTGGATAAAGTGCGCCTTAGTGCCATCGATGTGCACTGCCGATTAGTACGAGCATATTTGTTCGACCGGAAAAGTACAGAGGAAGAATGTCAAATTGTAATCCTTTATTTAACACAGTTTTCTTTCCACATCCATCACTGTTTAAGTAAACTTGAAAAGTCAATTTAAAAAAAATGAAAAGGGAAGGCTCTTCGAAGAAGCCGATAATCTAGCAAATGTGCAGCAGTAGCATGAATTAGATGCACAAGTAGCATAGAATGATATGCAATATTTGCTCATTTTAGAAAGTCGAGATATTGAAAAGCAAATTACAGGTAAGCAACGTGTATACAATCAAGGCACACCCACGCAAACGTGATCCACAAACGTGGATTTTCTCCACAATGGTAAATTTATTCTTTGAATTTCCTAGCTTGAAACTTCTAGACCAAATGTTGCACCAAGTTAGCAATTAATAAAAAAATGACCTCAGAAGTTTAAAATAAACAACATAATTCTACTAGATCAACTGATAAGTCCCTTCAGAGTATTTATATGAATATAAACAAAAAAAAACTTGCCGGTATCGGTAACATATCAACAAGATCTATACTACTATCAAGTATCGACTATCTCGGTTGTAATATTAGCTGCTCGTTAATTAAGGAAATTAAATCTTTAGCATTTTATAATCTAAATTCTCAATTAGAATGAAAAAATCGTGATAATTTTAAAGAAAGACATGGAGAAAACATTACTCAATTATCCTTCATTCATCGTACGTTCGAATTACAAGCAGAAAAGTGTGACACTATGCCTGGAAGCCACTATTATATTCAGCGATCACGTAAGTAACTTGGACAAGTATAAAGTCGTGTCATCTGTGCATTTCCGTGAGATCAGTAAAAAAGGACAATAAAAAAGGATCACAGAAATTAGCTTCTTTACATTGCTCCTCTTAGATTTCACTTTTAAAATTAATTCTATTCAGAAATGAAAAACTCCTGCTAGTTTTGATAATTTTGATAATAAGTTAGCGTCTATATTTTGTGAAGAATCCGAATAAATCAAGTTAATTACAGGAAGGAGTAATATCTGAACAATCACTTGGTCGTGTTTTGTTACCGATCATCGATGAAAACGGACATTGCTGCATAAAAAACAAGTATTTTTGATCCGATCATTTTCAGAAATCATAGTTAGATATTACTTGATCAAGAATGCGAAATTTATTCCATAGTCTGGCTCTACGATTAATCCATAAATTATGTTGTGAAATTCAAACTTTGCAAACAAATGAATAAAAATTGATTTAATTTCACCAAATCATCTTAAAAAAATAACTGAAAAATCAATTACTTTGAGTTTGTAAAATTTTTGTTCCATCTTATTTGATTTTTAAAAAATTTCCAGAAATTATGCCACAAAGCTGTCCACCCGCAATTCTCTTAGCAGAAAAGGTACCAAAACTTCTGCAATAAAAAAAGTTCATTAGAAGCAATATCTAAAAATCAGTGATGAAAGATGGAAAAAAATGAAATGGATAAATGAATATTTCACATTATTAATTTATTTAAGAAGACTAGGTCAGTAAGGAATAAAATCTAAAATTTTAAACTAATAACTTTTTAGGATTTAATTCTAAAAAAATTTGTAAATTTTTCGACGTCGGATTTGTAAATTGAGTTGCAAATTTAAACACAATGCTGAAGTTGACAACATAAATTATAGGAGTGATCCCTGTAAATACTCAAATTCAAATAAATTTTCATGTATCGGATGTGCCAAATAATATCGTCCATCAAGTTGAGTAAGCATATTCTCATTTTATTGCTTTTTAAAAGCAAAAAGAAAGGTGACATTGAATTTTTTATAAATTTCGATGTTTAACTAAAAAAACGGAAATTTCAAAACTATCAACTAAATAATTCCTTCTTGATAATTCCAGTTCTTTGCCAGATGTTTTCTTATGTCATACACTATTCCTGCCAATGTTTTTCTACTACCGACGTTTGTTAGGTCAATTTTTGACGAAAGATCGAGATAACTGTGGTAGTACAGGTAACTCGACTATTACTTCCTAAGATTCTTTCTCAAGAATTGATCATAATTGCTAAGTTTTAAAATCTGAAAAACATTAATTTGTTCTTTTTAGCACTTAAAGCTGAACCATTCCTTGCTACATTTCCGGCTATTGCTGATCAGCCTGATATAATGGAAATGTTGTGGCAGCTTTGGAAAATTCATGAGAAAAATGTGACTAACAAGAAGGTTATTTCCACACTTTTTTACTGCTCTGGTCACCAAAACTTGTTAGTTCGGCAAATTTAAAAACTTTAAACTCCCCGAATTTCAGCTTTCTGAAATGGAGGAAGCCGAACGATTCCGTTCATTTTATCTAGCAACTGGATTCATTTTTCACCAAACCGTTGCTATGCCCAAATTTAACTGGGCTGATGTTAGATGCTTTCTCGATCGACAGACAAAGCTCAATCATTTCCGGGAACAGTATTTGCATGATTTTGATGCCATTAAATATCTCAGCAGAGAACGCTGTCATCCAGTTGACGTATACAGTTGTGCGGTGGATATTATTGGTCCTCATGCCGTCAGCTGATGTTACCTTTACCACAAAAAAAAAGAAGATTGCCATTTATTTGCTCAAGAAGAGCTTGGCTCTGTTAAGAGCAGCTGTGATGGTGGTGATAGAAATTTATCAATAATTCTATCTTAATCGGGCCCATTTGACCAATTCTGTTAATCCATTTAACATTATTATCACTATTTGTCACTTGTAGTACAATCGGTTTAATTGTCAAATTCCATATTTGGTGGAATCACGGGATGATACGAACAGCTTCAAAAGCAATTTCCGTCTAAAATCCTGAGAGGATGTGGTCGGTTAAACATTGTTCAGAGGTGATTGCAAGAGCGGGATTAGACTTATTGAAAATTAAAACAATCCGTTTCTTTCCGGTTTTTTTCTTTCCTTCATTTTCCGTTTCGTTTTGTAAGCAAATGAAAATGGCCAATGTTTGGGGAGAAGAGTATAACAAAGCTTGTATCATTCATGTATTGTATATTGTACCAACTGAAGTGAAAACGGTCTTCAATCGTTCCTCATGTGACAGATACCATAAACAGTCATGAAAGAAGTGCACTTATAAACACAAAGATTTTTTGTAACAGCTAGAAGTAAAGAACTATTTTCCATAATTGGATCCATAGCTAATCAAGCAAAAAAAAATCAATTGTTTTCCAGTTTCGAAAAAGCAAATTATGGCCATCATTTCAGCATCATTATTTAAGCATCACCTGAAGGGATTTCTCTTAAACTGCAGTAATTTCTACGACGAAAAGTTTGGTTATGTCTCGTCTCATTTGGTTTTTTTTTTCTTTTTACATAAATAGTTAAATAGTTGATTGAAAGATGAAATCCATGAAGTATTTGCCATAAACTTCACTTTATCATTGAGAATTAAATAGCAGTTTCATGCTTATCAAGTTTGAAAACGAAAGAAATCGTTTTGATAATTGATGAAATCGAAGCTTAAAATTCCTTATCGGCAAATTGCGATTTCATTTATTTTCTAATAATTAATTTAAGTTTTATATATAAAAATATTGCCGAAACATCAGGATAAAATTTTACGGAATTTTTGGCACTTTCATTTACTTTTGCATAACAAAGCAATAAGCTTTGATAGTAAAATATGTCGCATTAGACGACTTGCAATATGTCTTGCTTTACCTCAATGCTTGAACAACCGTATGGCACTATCTCGAACACAGATAATAAAATAAAGTATTATTGATGAATTTAATTTAGACGTGGGTGGCGAATCTATGGTTTCATATTATACTAAGGAATTGTGTGGGCTGACATTTGTTTATTCCATTCTTTCGCTTTATTTGTACATTGATAAAATTTTGATTATTAAGTTGTTTGTTTAATCTTTTAATTAATGGAATTCATTACAGAACAGGAATGATTAAATTAAAGGAAGTTGTTAAATAAAAGTGTAAATTTATACAATGCCGACAATTTTATTGATTCAGACAATTGGATCTTTATTTGAAGGTCGACAATAGGAGACAATCGAAAATCAAGTGCAAGATTTTCAAATCACTCGTCTTTGGAGATTACAATCAGTAGATGTAGGAATTAATCTAACTTTTTGTGAATCTTGTTTTTGAAGATGAAGGAACTGGAATGTTGTAGCATGAATCAAAGTTGACTAACTTCCGACGGGATTTAGCGAACGAAAAGAAAATAGGATAGAGAATGTGCGGGGAGTGCTGTAACTTGCTCAACACATGAAGTTATTTCCTCGTCTAACACCGGACTGATTTAAAACATTTTTTATTTTTAATTCAACAATTTTAACAAAGCTCGCTTCGCCTTAGTTTCTGAATGGAGCTAAACAATGATTCATCCGTGATTCCTTCACACCTCTTTTTTCACGCATTCTAATTGCTTACTTCTTGAAAATTCTCAGAAATATTCCACCGGAAATATTGAGAAGTAAAATATCCCAAAAGCTGAAAATAAAGTGGTTGAAACCTAAAAGCTGACCCCAAGGTCAGTGGCACAAACATATTTTCTTGAGATTAAAGAGATTATTTTATGAAGCCCATACTTTGCTGTTCCAAAGACTCTTACAGTAACTTATTTAAAAACAACTTCATAAATAAATTTTCAGGAAATAGAACAGCAATGTTGAGTGTAGCAATGACAGCATGTCTTCTTTCTTGGACACAAGCTGGCATGGCGCAATTGGCGTTAGAAATCGTGTATCAAACCAGAATTTGAAGCAAATCTTGCAAGATTATTACAGTCACACCATTACAGTGGCACCTATAGCAAAAACTTTGGCAACTGCAGCTGAAGTAAAAGGAAACGAAAAGGTTAAGATAAACTCCTTGAAGTACTGAATTAACTCGATTCTGTATGGTGAGAACTTCAATGGCTTACTATCAACTTAACCAGATTTCAAATATTTTTACTCAGTGATCTGATAATAACATTAATAGCTCGACCAACATAAAATAACTTCGTTAGTGTTATATTCTCGATGTTATACTCCAAATGTTTGGTAAGAAAATCAACCTGCAAGATCATTTGCGAAGATGAGTACGCCATCTTCTCACATACAGTTAGTTGTACGTCACCCACAACTGATGATTTAATGGTCAAACAATCTTATCTCTTTTATAATAAATTTCTCTGCAGCTAAGCCCATTTAACCTTGGAAGAAACTTCTTCGGCTCAGATTATGACTCAAACAAGATAAGAAACGCAAGCTACATTGATTTGCCCAGGATATATGCTACACAAACATCATTTCCATCATTATTATTCATGTAATATGATTCGGCATTGCTTTTATTCTGTTTACATATATTGTTCATATAATAAATAAGCCAAAAGTGACCTGAACTAAATTCGAGGGATAATATACCAATTAGATCTAGGAACCTACTTCATTGTGATGATCAAAAGATCACTTCAGATGATCATTCAACGATCAAAAGATCACTTCAGAAATGGAAGCAACAAAAAGAAATGCACAGTAGAAGCTATGAACGTAATAAATTGACAAGAATCGGATCACCCTTAATCACAAGCATTTAATGGCAAAGCTTCACGATAGTGAAAAATCCGGAAATTTGCAAAAAAAAGAAAGGAATTTAAAAAACCAGGATGAAGTTCTCTCATATTTCAATTCAGATGTAACTTATGCATCATCATCGAAATAGGTAATTCTATTCGTAAAAATATTTAATTTCTTTGGTTCCCTTCATCAAAGACGCAAACGAAAAGAAATAATACATAGATACCAGAACATGCAGTGACTATTCAAATCATTTCTCGATGTTATGAGCAGCTTTTACCAGTGCCTCGTATGTTTCTATTTCAATTTGCACCACTGCCCGAGCGTCATCTTCCATCGGCTCTAGAGCACGTCGTTGTGCCGAACTTAGTTCTTCCTCAGCCTTCTATAAATGTACTCTTTTTATTCACGCCGAGGATAATGAACAAAATGAAATTCTGAATGGCAATCGCCAACCTTGATCTATTTTATAAAAGACTCTGACAAATTAAAACCAAAGAAATTAAAGCGAGATCTGTAAGACCATACCGCTAAATCGATATCCTCAAGTCTGATTGCTTCCTCCGCCAGAACTTGACAAGAACCATCTGGATTCATCGAAAGAGTACCAGATGAGGCAAAATATTGAACGCTTTTATCTGAAAAACGAATAACACTAGCAAAACAGCTTATAAATATGAACGATTTATGAGATAAGCACATTCAGTCTTTAGATGATATTCAAATTTGGGATAATTTACCATCTTTGTCTACAACTCGAACAACACCAGGTTTCAGCATCCCCAATACCGGTACATGTTTTGGTAGAATACCGATTGAGCCATTCAAGGTAGAAATATCGACCTGCTTTACTACAGCGTTATTAAAAAAAACCTGGAACATGAAAATATTGGAAAAGAATTCTCATCATTTTTCAACCATTGCATATTAGCTAAATCCGAGACTTTACGAAATCACAACTTCAGAGGTTGCTACTGCCTGAAACTAAGTTTAAATATAAAAATACCAATTTTATACTGCTACTATCAACTGAAGATATGTGTGGAATTCTAGATGTTTGGGCGACAAGAAATAGTTTATAAATTGGCCCTGTCCAATATAGCGGAGTAACAGGGACAACTTTCAGAACACGTACATATCACTTAAAGTGTCGTTTGTATTTTTGCTTGAAGGGAGAAATCGAGAACATGGGTAAAGAATTGAAGGGGAAAGAAAGGGGAGGGAATCAGAGAATAATACTTTCTAATACTGCAAAAACTGATGCATGGTTATACCTCAATAGGTGACGCAAAAGTCAATCGCAATTCGTCAATATTTGCTACAGATGCTTCCTTTGTTGCGTTTTGTGCGGTCTCCACTGCCGCAGCGTAGCATCGTCGTAGAATGTTCGATAATCCTTTAATGTTACGTCCTGATAGCATCCTTAAAATTTCACATGAAAGTAGCAATTCATTGGTCTAATTAATGGAAGGACGTTCCAAGCGTATGTTAGGAGATTAGTTCCTTTTAAGTCTACATACCCGTAAAACAACGGTTTAGCTTGGCAGCATTCACAAACTGCAGAAAAAGGATATCCAAAGAGGATTAATTAGAAGATAAAAACTGTTTAAATTCGGACTAGAATTCCTGTGAAAGTTAAATTTAAATCTGCAGATTCTCCCTTTTCATTAGCAGTTTGCAACTCAAATACTTTTTAAATGTTGGTGTCTGAGCATCTAATAAGTCAAAAGGAAACAACAAACAGAGAGAGGGGGATGCAAAAAATATAAGAAGGGATGAAAAATGCTACGATCCGACAATAAAGAAAACTAAAAATACAGAGAAATGCATGGAATCAACACTATGGAAAAGGAATTCCCAGCCTCAAGTTGCAAAATGAATTCTCCGCTGTATGTCTCTAAACATACCAGCTTCTACATAATGGCAGGGACGGGCCATTGTGAAACCCCACGTCTCACTCGGCCAAATTATAGCGGTCCCCATGCGGCACGCCTAACCCCAGTGGACACCGAAATGAATTACTCCGTTGTAAGCGTTATTCTGGAACCTACCTACCGTATCCTCCAGTCATTTGGAAATCCTTCACTTTCCGGAGCGTAGCAAGCAAAAAACGGAGGATACCATTGTAACTCCCTTCTCTCCTCTCGTTGTTCACACCACCTCGGAATAATGAACAAATTGAGTTAGAGAAGAGAATTAATACTAGCATTATATAAAAGTTACCAAATGCTTATAAAATCTCGAATGAACAGAGCTTAGTGATAGACCCATACACCCAACACAACTACACTACCAATCCCGGTCTACCTGCATGGTTAATGGTAAAACGAGAATATATACACCCTCAAGCTTACCGGATTTGTGGACTAAGCACCACAAAACCACAAACGTCCTTTTACCCCACAACAATAACTGCCGAATATACAAACTTTCAGAAAAACCCGTCTGTTGGGCAAATGCGAGAAACAATTTGTTCTTTGTGTTGGAAAAAAACAATGACATATATTAGTGAATGCATACAGATTTTAGCAAAAAAAGAATTTGGGGACAGATATTCAAAAGATATCGAGACTTAAATAACCATTAAAAAATTGATGCGGACATTTTTATAAATATTATGAACAAAAAGAATACATCAAAAACCATCTTTTACGGGAAGCACAGAGAAGACGTCTTTTCTTTGCATAAAAATGATTTAAAAAGTTGAAACCAAAGCATACAGGGCATAACACTTGTAAAGGTATGATGATCACACCTGAATCTCCGTGCTTTTAAAACGTCACTTCCCCATCTCTATCCCACTCATCTCTCACCTAATCTAAACTACTACTGAACTGATCTGAAATTATATCTGCTATTAAAATACACTATAAATTGCAAAAATGACATAACTCGAGAAGTGTCAGGCTCACTATATCAATTTTACACCTTATATATCTTCAAGAAGTAAAAGAAAAGATTTAACCTTTTTTCCTAACAAACCTCTCCGATAAATGCTACAAATAACGCATCAAATTCCCATTTCTCTGCTTATCAAAATCAGACATCAACTTCAAAACCAAAAACTTACGAAAGGATTAAATGTCTCTTAATCTGCCATCTTACTGGGAAATACGAAATAGTCAGGTTTGAAAGAGACAAGATTTGTGTAATGAAAGCATTTTCACAATGTTTAGACATGACAGAAAAACGACAAAAACTGATTAAGTCAAACATTACATAGTGATTAATTAATCGGGTATGTTTAGTGCGCGTTACAAAACAAAACGAAACATGAACATTGAAAATCAAAAAGATAACGTTCAACAAATTTACATACAATACTGAAAATAGTTTAGAGAGCGAAAATGGGGCAACTTCAAAAATTTTTTACATGTGAATCGCCTCGGATATTTATTATAGTCTTCTGGCAACATTTTATCTAACGAGAGCCCTTTTCTTAGGTGGTCTTATTCCAACTTAATTGGAAGAAATCCTTCCAGTACAAAGCAATATGCCAAGATATTAAACGACTTTAAACCATTTCACTAAATATAACCAATGCTCCCGCCTTCTACATCCTGCAGTTCTTCAAACACACTGAAATACCCTCCTGCGATTAAATAACTTTTACAAAGACCAAAAAACTGAATAATTTGACAAAAAGAGAAAAGGTCCAATAAAGATATGAAAATAAATTACTCGCCTGTACCTAAGGAATAAATAGAAAGTAACTGGCAGAAGCATGCAGAAAAGACCATTTCCCGACTGTGTATGCAAATTCCATCAGTTCTGAAGCATCAACAATTAAGGAGTATAAAATTTCCTATAAGAATAACTTATATCACGAGGAAATAATGAGTTTTCTGCAAACTCTTATCAGTACGGTAAAAATATCAAGTGTTTAATAAGCAGATAAATAAAAAACATGAAGATAAACGCAAGAAAACATATGGAGGACAATTAAAACTGATAAAGTAATAAAATTACAGAAGTAGAAAAAGTCACCAAGGAATTTACTTCCTACGAGACAGAATTAATGTGAAACCACCCAAGTCAGGCATGATAAACTCCTTAGTAAGTTCAAAACGTGCAGCGACAACCATTAAAACGATAAAAAAGACAACGGCAACCAAATTTTTGGTAGATGGATATAAAAAATCCAAAATAGTTAAAGGAGTCATACAAATAAATAAATAAAAGCTAAAAGTCAATAGGACGCAAAACTACGTCTTCGAAGTTTTTTCGGGCATCTAATATGTCGCTGATTTCACTTTCCAGGTGAAGCGAAAACCAGAATATGCTAGCAAGAAAGCGAAACCAATAAAACACGATGATGAGGAAATCCAGGACGAAGATTTGTCATGAAATGCGCATAAAACCTTCTAAAAACGCTCTCTGCACCAGACCATTGAACTTTAATTAGGACTAGTCAAGGTAAAGCATGGATATTCTGGCTAATTTATACTAAATTTGTCTTTTTTATATCACCAAAGAAAGACTGCCTGCAGAGAGCAATCCGACTAAATTAGACCATTTTTAAAAAAGAAGCACGAATAGCAGTAATCCCGGTGGTTCTCATCAGAATCCAACCAGACAAGTGCCTTGAACTTGAAGATTGCGAAAGATCTGTTGACGAATAAATAATTCATTTCTAAGTCTCATCATTATGAAAAATAACTTTCAGCACTGTTATCTTCCTTCGCACCAAAATGCTTTAAATCATCGAACAAACTCTGCTTGATTTTTGATATTTCACTTGCTTCCTCCTGTAAACACGTCCACACATATTTGGATAATAAATGGAATGCAAAATATGAAAATATTCATAGTAGTTATTATTCAACAGAATTACTTCATAAGATTTTGTTTTACACTTGATGTAAAAATTGTCAGCATTAACGGTCTTGATTTTTGAAAGGTACACGTTTAAAACGGAGTGAATCATTCGTTACATTTTTACTAATATTAACATACGTTGTAAAAGAAATAAATAGGATGGTCCCTCATAAATGAAACGAAACTGAATTATGTATTTCAAGGAAACTGAATAATTCCCTTTCATACTTCGCGTCTTTTAGCTGCTCATTGCTAACTGGCAAACCGCAGCATAAGAGTCAGAAATTTTGGAATTATGTATGCAAGACTAACATTTACTTGTCCTCCAGAACTTGAGTTTGTGTTTGAACTATTGCCGGGTCCATTACCTTGGTTGCCACCAGGCACAGAATTCGGAGGTGCACCAGATTGTGAGTGTACTGAACCAGGACCACCAACTCCGGCCCCTGCTACTGAACCTGGACCACCCACTGGTGCCTGACTACCTGTATTTCACAAAAAAGTTAGTGAGAAATTCAATGTAGATTCACGCAAAAAACTGGACAGTTCCGAAGTGCGAAACATGTTCTCAAAATAAGTTGCCATGTGTTAACTGGAGAAGGCAAGGAAATCAAAACCACCCACAGCCTTACCAGCAGGTAGGATGGGTGAAATAAACGAAGAGGATGGTGGTTAACACCGTCTACGCCTCAGAGAAGGTTAATAGAGAATCAGGTCCTGTGAACAGTCGCGCCGCCATCAGGAAATCGCGGCAACTGGACCGTTTTCACTTTGTTAATACTGAGTGCAGGGTTGTAAATTGAAACATATGCCACGATGCATGGGGCCTGTAACAAAAATAAACAACTCCCCTCCTAAGAATTTGAAAATATAGGTCAAAATACGCAAAATGAAACGAAAAAAAAATGAATTAAGAAAGAGATATTGGAAAACTACGAACCTGGTCCACCTGCTGTGCTCGGTGTACCACCATTCAACCCACCATGTGTAGAAGCAGGTGACTGTTTCATTTCATCACCGTTCAATAATGAACCAACCTGTGGTTCAGGACCAGAACCTGGAGGTCCAGCTGAACCTCTGCCACCTGCCCCAGGAGTCATGCTACCCTCAGAACCATGCATCACATACTGCAATTAAATATTTCCATATATTTCCATGCAATACAGCAACCACTTCTTTTTTATTAAAACAGGAACTTCATAGACAAAAAAATATATGTGAAGTGTGACCGGATACAATGGATTTACCTAATACTGCCGATATTCTTAAGAAATATGCTCAGATAAAATAAAGTACCGGTATGTTCGAGGCAGTCGACATCATCATGTAACCCCTGGGATCAGCCTGTCCATCAGGCACCGCTGGTATCGGTCCTTGTGGTCCTGGTGATGACATCATTGAAGGAGTTGATGAACATATCGCACCATTTGGCATCATGGCATTCTTGAATGACAACATATAACTAACATAACATAATAGCCGCAGAGGTTTTAAACAGACTTTAATGTAAATATTTCGAATTAAGAAGATTAACCTCAAACACTCTCACAAATAAATTACGAAAGAATATGTTGTTTGAAAAATCACTATTACTGCTACCAATGAAGTTGTACATCACTTTCTTTTTTACTTCATTACCTCAAATTGAAAACAGTATTTAGAAAAAATCTTACAAAACAACAGTATATGCACCATGCTCATATATAACCATTATTATACATCCTCAAGATGGCACAAACATATAAGCAGAAGAATCTAATAAGGATGAACATACTGGAGGAAAAGGAGTGCCTGTTGGAGACTCCATGTACATTTGAGAACCATACCGCATTGGACCGTTAGGTCGCATTCCCGGAAAATTCTAAAATACGATCTCGTGATTCAATCAATGCATTTTCTTTTTATTTATAATTAATATATCCAGAGCAGATGAGCTCAATCTCATAAAAGAGCACTTCAGTTTCTAACTATTCAAAAGCTTTTCCCAAATATAAATTTGTTTCCAAGAGAATTCGGTATAAATACGAACAAACAGAGTCATGAACGGCTACGAATGACAATAATATGCTGAAGTGTTAGAAATTCTTTTAGCTTAAAAAGTCTTGTATTGTCACAGAATTTCAGTTACTCGTCGATTAAGCAAATTGGGAAAAGTTCAAATTCGTAATACAAATAGTATATTTTATTTTCGCACTAGAATAACGTAAAGATACCGTTGGCATACGCATTGGGCCTGCACTTGGAGGTAGTCGCTGTGGTTGCATGGGTCGCATTTGTTCACTAAACATATGAGGGGGTCCAGCACCTGGAAAACCAGCACCAGGTGGCATAGCACCTGGGCCAGGTGGACCATTTCTTGATGGCATAGCATACCGTGGTGGAACTGGAGCAAAACTTCCAGAAGGAGGCACGCCTGAAAGTTATCAATGATCATCGCAATTTAGGATGGTTCGACTCGATTTCTTCACAAATTTAGAAAAAGTTGTAAATGTGACATAATGAAATATTCAGCGTAAAACCTGAAGTACTTTATACTGGTAGAAACAATCCAGGAGGACAAAATGGACTATAACTAGAAATCAAATTTTGTTACTGATCCTAATGTATAACCTGAAATGGGTGACGACTGACTAGTTGCGCCTGATGGTCCCGGCTGTCCACTTCGTGCAGGATAATAACCAGCAGGCATAAGTCCATCTGGTCCTGGTCCAGGTCCCATACCTAGAGGGCTAGCTGCTGCTGACGGAAACTGTAACATAAACAACAATTCAACGTTGAATAGACGTGTAAATACCATAACTATCAAAGAAGTGCCACAACAGTCAAACAAATACTTCATGAACTCGTTAAATAAAATTAGAACACGTGACAACCAACCAGATGAGATCCGTGCATACCATTCATCATTGGTGCACCAGTAGGACCTGGAGGAACACCATGACTTGCATTCATAAACCCCTGTAATAAAAAAGTAAAGTAAAAAGCAACTATATGATACTATGATACAACAAAAGCGTTAAAAAAGAAAGCATTTATCAGAAAAAAGCTTACGTATTCATGAAAAGCTTTCGCTTCTTGGGAAGCTTCACATGTATCTCGCCTTTCCGGGGCTGCTGAGTATAAATCCCAAAATAAACTGCAAATGATTTTATAACTGGTGGATAACGGTAAAGATCTAAATAAAATCACTTCCATTCCGTTGAAATTATTATGAAGACAAAATACAATGAAATTAGTTTCACAACTTGGAAATAATGCACATAAACTTACAAGAACCAATTCTGTAAAAATCCTGGTGCATCACCAATATTGATTTGCTTCGATGCATTATTCTGCTGAAATAATTCACTTATTTGCGATTTTCATTTTATATTTTGCAGTGAGAAATATTTTATGATAAATAATGCTGATTTCGTTGCAGTTGGAAACTCTAATTTCATATCAGCTAGATTCATATAATCCCTTGTCCTCCCCAAAGAAATGTAGCGACTTATCAACCAGAGATTTTACCAACACTTCACAAAGAAAGTGATGCACATAACTGAACCGCTATCAACTAAATAATATGGAAATTTTATGGTTTCGTATGAAAATTTTGATTGCAATTTCTTACCGACAACATTTCCCCCTTGAATGATTCGGCAGTTTTCGTTGCACCATTATGCACCAAATATTCATACACAAACCCAGCAAGCCTATAATACCATCAGTATAACGGATGGGTAACAAGACTTCCAATGCTCCTACAAATTACCTCCTACAAAGTCAATGAAGTTGACCAGTAAACTATGCATTCCTTCAAATATCGTATTGCCAATGTTGATAATAAAACATTCGAAACCGAAACACTGGATTTCTTAAATGTTATCTAAATGATGGGAAAAACTTACTTCTCTTTCGCTGCAGCTTCACTTTGGCTTGTTAGTGTTGTTTGGGTTCGATTCGATGGTGGACCCTTTGGTTGTTGTGCAAACATTCCAAACAAAAATGATGCTTCTTTTCAGACTGTTTTCAGTATATCCAAGGAAGCAGAAAAATAGAGACACATAATAATAATTTAATAAGTACCAAAAACCAAGAGAATCTCCACACAACCTAGAATATAGTTTTAGAACGCTCTAAAATTAAATATACCCGTACATTTATACGTGCCCAACCACACATTGAACAATGTCAATAACAAATATTTCGAAGTATTTATGGATAAGCCGATCCCAGGGATTACATGATGTTGATTGTCTCGAACATACCAATACTTTATTTGATCTGAACAAATTGAGCAAACATTTCTTAAGAATATTTGTTATTGTCAACAACAAAGTGTTTAACCTTCTCGAAATTAAGAAATTCTTGCATAAAATAAGTAGTAAAGAGTGATGATAACTGTAACGTTATTGGTTATCATAAATGAAAAATATATTCAAAACCGCAAGAAAGCAACCATCCAAATAGCATAGTTAACTATATTTTTACTGACAATAACATCCGGAAGAAAGCATACTGCTACGGGAACTAATTGATTAATTAATACTGCTGAAAACTCTAACTGCATCCAGGAAGAAACTGAGTGGCAAGTTCTGCCAAGAAATCTAATAAGAATAGCAGTTGGAGCGAACATAAAATATTCTGATTATTAAATAAATGAAACTGATGGGGAATACAACACATGAGGTTGGTTAATATTCAATTATTACCTAACGCCAATCATCAGCAGTAACAAACCAGTAAGTAACAAAAAGCATCCAGAGAACACTGAAATTAGAATAGAAATTTAAAAAAAGGTTTCAATACAGCTATCAATGTGTTGGACAAGCTATCCAATATGAAGCATCCAAGGTGTTGCAAGATCAAATATGATGTAACAGAAGAGTGACGTCATAAATAAACCCTGATGTATCAATAACGAAAGATAACAGAAATGAAGAGAAATAATCAGAGCTACATTATATTATTAAGAATACGAAGATGCGTGTCCTCACTGATTTAATTTAATATCCCAACTGTGTAGACATTACTTGCAAAAACAGGTATGGGTACATTCCCAACATAACCATAACAATAACAATAACGGTGAAACAACACCAATAACCGCTTTGCAATAAGCGTTTAATTAATCGACCTAATAACAGTGAATAAAAGAAGTCAGTAAGTAACACAAACAGAATACCCCCCCATTCGTCACTCGAACCGATGAATTAATTGTGAAAATATATGCCAGCAAAACACATGTCAACAACCCATCCACACAAACACACGCGAACACACACACACACACACACACACGCACACATACACACACACACGCACACATACACATACATACACACACATACACACACACACACACACTACACACACACACACACACATATACACACACACCACCACACAAATAAACTGGACGACCCCCAAGCTACTACCGCGACAGCAATAACGCAAGGAAAGAAGGGTGCTGTGCAGTTGGCGAATGTCCAGCCGCCCCCCATTATCGATCGACGTGTCTTAGGCAGGCAAATCTTCTCCGCTACTATTAATACGCTCTCCCCTACATCCCTACATCTCGGATGGGGTCACCTTCCATCTGCACCTCTCTCCGGGGTATCCCGGGGGCCCCGGTGGCACTGTTCTTTTTAGTAAGTGGATCACATCCTCCTAACGACCACTTTCCCCCAAATACTATCTTTTATTATGTGTCTTCATGTACGTCTACATACACACACGAAGGAATTGGAGTCGTTCTTGTTTCACATACACACGACACAGACACAGACACATATACATAGCCACCTCCCCTTCGACATCACTGGGGACCTACGGCTTGACAGGATTGTCGCCCTCTACTACCCGGTAAGCATTACGGCGATGGCATCGTGACGTGCATGCATGTAGGGACGGGACACACACACACATATACACATATACAAACAAATTTGCATGTTACCAATGACGGTCACATCGTAGAAATTCAACTGTAATTGTTCCACATTTACAGATTCGAAATTTTCAAATTCGTTTTGTTAACTGACCGGTCATTTTGCAAGAAGCGAAAGTCAAGGCATATTGTCCTAAACGACCCACAGGAGCTGGTCCGGCCTTGTACCTGGGTTGGTGACTATCTGTTGCTATAAGGGCTTTTGTCATATCCCCTCTCAGAGACCTGCTGTTCTTCATCACCACCAGTTTGTAAACACAAGGTAAAAATCCAAGTCAGCAGTTACACTTCCGGTAATCCGGAGGAGAACTGCAAAGAATATTAATATTTAGTAAGAATGACCTAATCTCATTGTTTTACCATCATTACTCGGTGAGCAGTTACACTGTCGTCATCTGATTCTTCACATCGAAATCCTGAAGGGTCTTGTAAGTTGTCGACCCAGCTTTCCTATTCCAGGACTTGGTGAGAAATTTTTCTCTCCTGGTACAGAAGGAAAACCTCGCCTTACTTGGCTCTCATTTCTTTCGTTTCGGCCAGCTAGTGCTGAAAATCTTTCCAGTGGATTTCTTTGAATATTGAATATCCAAATGTTGCGGAAATGTTTCATTAATCAGTGTAATATTGTTTTAATAAACCTAATCGTCTCATCAAGTGTTGAGATATAATCCTGAAAATCCTTGGGTCGCTTTCTATTCACGAAAAGGTTTACAAGATGTATCGGGGAAAGAAGTGCGACTTGTTACCACTTCTGATAGGCTGAAATTTTAATTTCAGAGATAAAAAATCCAAATTGCCTTCTGGTAGTTCGCAAATAACCTACACGCAGTTTACAACAAGTCAATCGATGGAAGCATAAGAACATGAGCTATGCGTGCAGGTTGACTTAATTACACAATTGCTTTCTCGCATAACTTCTGGAACGGGGTTGCCCATATTTGATCTCTTCGAGATTTGATCTCTTCTTGAAGAGTAGCGGGTCAGAAATCAAAATTTTGAAAAATGAATAATCAAGGGACAGCGATGTTCGCATTTCTTGTTCTTTTACAAATTCTAAATTTCAGTATTTCAAGTTTTATTGCTTTTCAGCTGCTCCATTAAATTATGACGAGGATTAGAGTTATTTCTCAAATTCCTAGAATTGCTCACTCATTTTTTGAGTTGGTTTTAGCCTTCAGTTGGGAGGGGGAGGGGAAGAAAAGGAAGAACAATGGATTTCCGTGCTGGTAATTTCAGGAAAAAACAAAAAATATGGGTACCCTAGCTGAAGTCAAGAAACAGGTGAACTTTTGCCACATACAAAACAAGATGAAATTTACCTCCTGAAACTCCACTTTAATAAGGAGGGCCCAGGAACAGTTTTTCAAGGATAGAAGTTCGATAAAATCATTTTGGTAGCACTTAATAGCCATCACCCGCTAGCATCACTTCGATGCCAATGTGAAGCGTTTATCTGCGCTATTATTATTCACTGAGCGGAGTCATGTCTAAATGGCCACTTGTACCTGTTCTGGTCTACTTTACTAAGATGTAGCAAAATAAGATTACCAAATATCTCGGTGATGTTTACCATAAAGCCATTGGCGCGACAAGAATCAGATTTCTCTAAGCAGTGCAACTACTTTTCAGAGCTTGCGTTTAAAGAAGCGAAGACATTCAAGTGATCAATTTGTTTATTCATGGAAGAGGGATATTTCAGAAACATTCGAAATGCTCTAAGACTGAATAAAATGTTAGCAAGATTGCAGTGGAACGTAAAACAGTGCCTAAGGAAGTTATTTTGATGATGTCATAATACTCTGATGATACCAGGCATCATTTCCCTACGGATTCACCAATCCTTGAACTGGTAGGCTGGAATTAGAATTTGTTTTACAGTACTAAGAAAAGTGAGATGCTCTTGATTGCAAAGATATCTCTCTCACAACGCACTATCTTTGTTTTTGCTTTTTTGAGCTTTACTTATTACACCTGGAGTAAATATTCAGGTATGAATTACCCATAAACGGTAAGCAATCTATTGCAGCACTTCAACAGTAAAACGTAAAGTAATAATCGGGATGAAAGTGGTATGAGAATCTTTAAGACGTGTCCAAGTTAAAATTAGAAGAGTATCTGAGTTAGCATGACGTCAGCAATGTTTGTCAAGCATTTGATTTTAGTTGTCGGCTTTCATCCCATTCTAGTGGAGTCTTGTTAGCATTTTATTCAGTCCATTTAAACTTGATCCAATATTTGCATTTCGATTAGAACAAAAAAAGAAAAAAGGAAACATTCGGTGGGATAGGACAGGAATCCCTGAATAAATGAATGCCTTCGAAAGGAAGTTATCACTTTGTTTCTGAAAATGAGTTACTGTTAGTATTTGTCAGATCTTTAGCATTTCAAACCATTTTCTAAAAAATCTGTCTGATCAGTCTGATTTAGTAGTAAACAGATGAAAATGATCAAAAGTGGGAGACTAAAGTTTGCGATTATAAGATTGTCCATTACTTCACCTTCCTTTTATTTCCTAATGGGAGTTGAGGTAAGCAAAGTAATGTTGTAGTGGGTTTACTGTCGTTCCAGCAAATGATACAAGTTTGAGGCACTTTACCATGTTAATATTCGAGTACTACTTCGCAAAAAACACCTGTTTAGCAGGTAAGTGAGCGAATAATAGCTGGATAATGGTCATAACCAAAAGTCAAAATCAAAAAGTTCATTTCATTTACTTCTTATCGGCGCACTTTATCCTGCTACGTGACACCACTGTTAACTGTAAATGAGCAAAACTAAGGTAATGCTGAACAATAAAGCGTAAGCAAATATGTTGCATTTTCTCATATCGAGAGGTCCAAAAAGTTTAATGAGATTTAATTGCTATGTATGCAAATAGATGATTCAACAGTTACTATATTACAGGATGGGAATGGTCGGAAAGCCAACTGCAAGTAATGATTGTTTGTCTGTTATCATTTTGTGGGAGTAATGTCCTATTGGTTGCGGTAATTTACTTATTGGTAAACTCTGTCAAATTATTCTTATAAATGGAGACCATCCTGCAAATCTGGTCGGACCTACACGACGGTATGCTGTCACTCACCATGCTTCTGTACAGAAATTAAAGTTAATAATAATTATAATGCCGGTTCCTTCATCTTAAAGCGCCTTGTTTTCCTGATTTTTCAGTTATGGTTCCTCTGCCCATATCGCGACACAATAATCTCTTCCGGTTGCATATTCAATCTATTTGAACGTCCCACGAACTGAGTACTTTCAAATTGTAGTTACGACCGTTAGAAAAGTTTTTGGTAGTTTAAATTCATTCGTACACATGATAATAAAACCGACCATAATTTAGTGTTTATTTATGATCAATACAGCAACAAAAATTCAAAACAAAAATAAAAATCACAATATTGGACATGCACAATTCCATGGTATCAGATTAATTACAGAATAACCTGTCGTTTAAAAATGTTGCTATTTTCCAAGCAGAAATAGATTAGCACCAACTGTTTATAAGCTTCTCGCGGCCATACCTATAGAAGTTCTTTCGTCCTTATACTTCTGTCAAAATTCTAATCAGTGCTATCTGATGAGCTATCACCACCGTAATCTGCCACTAGTGCTAAAGGTTTGGTACACAGATCCGATTTCACAACAGAAACTAATTCATCGTTGATATTTGCTAAATTCATCTGATCAGGATGCAGCAGTTCAATTCCACGTCCAGGCTTGACATCATCCAGATTGCGCTGAGAAGTTATTTTATAGAAAAACAATCTTTCAAACGCTAAAATGTGCCAAAATGATTGAATCAGAAAACAAAGAACAAAATAAGTACAGGAGAAAGAACTTTCATGAAAGGAAGAAATTTCATTTTCAAATGTCGAAAATTACTCTACAGTGATTATGCATAAATCATTACCTTGTTCAAAATACCTATTTCATCGTGTCCTTCATTTTTGTATTTCAATCTTTTGACAATGCCAAGATTCCCGGCTGTTATTTGTTCCTGTCCATTATGTGCAGGTGACACACCATCGGATGCACTGCGCTCATTTGTACAAAGCTTCATAGACCGTAATTTCTTTCGCATCCCATCATTCTTTGCTGAAGTTGATGGTTTACAACTTGAAAATAAGGGCTTGCTCAATATCGTTTTACGTTTCTCTTCAAGCCGTTCTTCAGGAACTGAAAAGTGGTACAATAAATACATCAAGAAATAGCGTTTTTTTTTTGTTTACTGGAAGAATAAATTACAATTTTCAGACTCCGGTTTTAGTTAAGACTTACTGGAAATAGCAAAGGAAGTCCATTTTCTAAATAAGTTCAAAAGTTTCAAAGAATTTCCAACCTATTATAATAAGGTCGCACCGCTGGTTTCTTTAAAATAGAAAACAATATTAAATTGTTACGTAAATTTCATATTTTTGTATCGCAGAACTGCAGCAGCGAGTTTTTTGTCCTCAACACTTTCTGATACTAGTTTGATGTTCAAAGACATTCTCTTCAGCAAGTCTTCATCTCTTGCTCTTCCTTCGTTCAAACTAGCTTTTTCAAGCTGAAACGGTACAGTTTATAACAGTTTAAAAATAGAATGATGAGAAATTGATCTAGAATGATCCCGAATGACCTTGATTTTAGAAAAATGCATACCTTGAATGACTTCCTCAAAGCTTGATTAGCGGCAAAATCATCCCGCATCCTTTCCTGAATCCATTCCAATTTACCAACTTTATCAGATGAACTTGCTGCCTTCTCTTTGTCTTGTTCCACATGTTCAACCTAAATTCTACAATTTGTTAACGAAACTAGATATATGAATTGAGAGAACAGTATGCACCCTTCGATAATTGGGATCCGAATACTTGGCGCTATCAGCTAATTCAACTCGATTTTCTTTTAAATGGTTTATTCCTTCAACTTTCTTGTCCCTCATGTTATTTGGAAACTATAGACAAACTTGATGTATAAAATTAGTATAATATGGCGAAGCAAAATTAAACCTGAAACATCCGATCGCTTTCCAACTGCCTACTAAAACTCCGATCAACAGCTCCAAGCTGATCGATAGTAGATGGATCATATCGTTTCTCCTGTCGACGACAGCCTTCCACAAGTTCATAATCAAAGTGCTACAAAACTAATGTTTCTGTTCCAAAAGGTATGGCAAATTAAAAAGAAAGAAAATAAACGTAATACATTATGAAGAGGGAAAGAATCCAAGATGAAAAATATTTTGAAGCTAAAAAATTTTTTAAAGTGGTTTGAAAAAAATAACCTCTGGATCAGTGCGTATGACAAAGTAGTTGTCACAAAGGTGACATTTCATACGGAATTCATATAATGGTGTCGTGTAATACATCCCAATTTTCTTCTTTTCGGCATTATATCGCACACCCATCCCAACATGGTTGTTACAACCAAGACACCAAATATTGAATGGCATTTCAAAACTGAATATTGAAGGAATAAAATACAAATACCTCACAATTATTTAACAAAAAGAACAATTCAATGGATGAAATCTTTAAAGGATGTAATTATTTCGTTATGAATTAATATATATTTACATCGACTTTTAACTCATTAACTACTAGAAAATACGAGTAAATATCTTACAATAACATTTCGGAAATTTAAATGTAACGTACCGTATAATGAGAATCCCTTGCTTGATTTTGGCAGCACGTTCTCGCAATGCATGTGTCCCATGATAGCTGTTTAAACTTTTATGCTTCTTATAATCAAAGTCTGGCGGATAATAGAAATTCTGTCCTTTACGTTCACCCATATTCTGTAAAACTTCGCCAAAGGACTTTTTTAGAAATATGCGTAAGACCTATGGGACAACAAGTAGTTTCCCTTTATTCAGAAAATATTTTCAATTTGAAAATATTCAATCACAATCATCGAGCAGAACTATCTGGTCAGCGCGGAACTTATTCGGACGAAATCATACATTCCGCTTCTTAGAGACCTGATTCCTATACTGACAGTGAAAATATTTTTATTTGCAACATAGTACAGTTGGGAAGAGAAATTCAAATTACTTTTTTAGAAAACTGACATTTTATTGTAAACGATTCTTACAACAAAATAAGACAGCACCATTTAAATCAGCTAGATACGTTATTTTCGAAAGTACGAAACTTATGCATATGTATATATATATATATATATATATATATATATATATATA